TAGAAAGCAAAAGTGAAAGGAAAATGTATCAGACATGATTACATTTGGCTACATGTTTGTTCAAACAGCATTGGGTTTTTTTTTCTTGGAATAAAAAGTGAGGTAGTCAGTAGTCCAAGTCTGACTAAGCAGCTCCGTGAAGCCATCAAATACCCTTCCTAGTCTGCTATCCTTACAGTGTGGCTTTGATTGCTCCCTCTCCATGTATTGTGTGTAGACTCTGGGTAGAAAGGAGAAAGGCAAAAGGCGTAGGTCAGGTGAACCTGGTAAGTCTCACCCAGGAGACTTCCTCATATATTTCCTTGGTCAGAACTGGATCGTATGACTCCTAGCTATAAGGTATCTAAAGAGGCAAGTACTTTACTGAACAAAAACCAGGTTCTTTTAGTAAGAAAAAAGAGGAAACTTACAAAAGCATACCTTCGAGATCTTGCAGGTTTAGTTTTAGACCACCCCAGTAAAGCAAGTATCACAATAAAATGAATCAAAGGAATTTTTTGGTTTCCCAGTGATTATAAAAGTTATATTTGCACTCTACTGTAGTCTGTTAAGTGTGCAATATATGTCTACAAAAACAATGTACATATTTTAATTCAAAAATACTTCATTGCTAAGAAATGCTCACCATCATCTGAGCTTGCAGTGAGTCATAATCTTTGTGCTGATGGAGGGTCTTGCCTCGATGTTGATGGATGCGGACTTATCGGGGTGATGGTTGCTGAAGGTTGGGGTGGCTGTGGCAGTTTCTTAAAATAAGACAGCAGGGGCACCTGGGTGGCTCAGTCAGTTAAGCGTCTGCCTTCGGCTCAGATCATGATCCTGGGGTCTTGGGATCGAGTCCCGCATCAGGCTCCCTGCTCAGCAGGGAGTCTGCTTCTCCCTCTCCCTCTGCCTGCCGCTCTGCCTACTTGTGCTCTCTCTCTGTCTCTCTGTCAAATAAATAAAATCTTAAAAAAAAGAAAAAGACAACAATGAAGTTTGCCACATCAGTTGACTCTTCCTTTCATCAGTGATTTCTCTCTAGCATGCAGTGCTGTTTGATATAGCATTTTACTCTCAGTAGAACTTCTTTCAGAATTGGAATCAATCATCTTAAACCCTGCCACTGCTTTATCAATTTAGTTTATGTAGTATTCTAAATCCTTTCTGTCATTTCAATCATCTTCACAGAATCTTCACCAGGAGTAGTTTCCATCTCAAGAAACCACTTTCTTTGCTCATCCATAAGAAGCCACCCCTCATCTGTTCAAGTTTTATCATGAGATTACAGCAGTTCAGTCCCATCTTCAGGCTCCACTTGTAATTCTAGTTTTCTTGCTGTTTCTAACACATCTGCAGTTATTGCCTCCACTGAAGTCTTGAACCCCATAAGGTCATCCCTGAGGGCTGAAACCAACTTCTTCCACACTCCTGTTCATGTTGGTATTTTGACTTTTTCCTATGAGTCATAGATGTTCTTCATGGCATCTAGAATAGTAAATCCTTTTCAGAAGGTTTTCAGTTTTCTTTGCTTACATCCATCAGAGGAATCAGTATCTATGGCAGCTATAGCCTTATGAAATGTATTTCTTAAATAATAAGACTTGAAAGTGGAAATGATGCCTTGATCCATGGGCTGCAGAATGGATGTTGTATTAACGAGCATGAAAACAACATCCATCTTGTCCATCTCCATCAGAGCTCTTGGGTGACCAGGTGCACTGTCAATGAGCAGCAGTATTTTGAAAGGAATCTTTTTTTTTGAGCAGTTGGTCCCAGTAGTGGGGTTAAAATATTCAGGAAACCCTGTTGTAAACAGACGTGCTATCATCCAGGCTTTGTTGTTCCCCTCATGGAGCACAGGCAGAGTAGATCTTTTGACTTTTGACATGCCTTACTAAGCTTCATCATTTCTAACTTTCGATTTAATTGGAGGGATGTGCAACTTTTCCTTTTGCTGGAACACGTAATGACTGTTTTAAGATTATTAGCTGGCCTGATTTCAGTATTGTTGTGTCTCAGGGAATAGGATGGTCCAAGGAGAAGGAGAGATAGGGGGATGCTCAGTTGGTGGAGCAGTCAGAACACACACACTTACCATCAGTTAAGTTGACCATCTTAAATGGGTGTGGTTCGTGGAGCCCCAAAGCAATTGTAATAGTAACATCAAATGATCACTGATCACAGATTACTATAACAAATATAATATGATGAAAAACCTTGAAATATTATGATAATTACCAAAATGTGACAGACATGAAGTGAGCAAATGCTTTTAGAAAAATGGTGCCAATAGACTTGCTCGATGCAAGGTAGCCACAAGCTTTGAATTTGAACAAAATGCAATATCTGCAAAGCACAATAAAGTGAAGCCCAATAAAAGGAGGTATGTCTGTACTGGATAGAAACCTAGTGATGTCCTTTACAGTTAACTTTTATAGGACATTCAGTGTTTTATTCCATAGTGATTGTGGTTGGGCTGGTTGCGAAAGCACATAATAGGTGATCAGTAAAAATTTGTTGAGTAAATGAATGAATCTGCTTTAAAAACCTACGGTAGATAATACTTCTCTTGAATTGCCTCAAGTTTGCCAAGCAGTGTTGCTGCTCCATTGTGAGTTTTGAAGAGAGTTTTACCTTAAGTTTTGTTTCTTCAAATTTTATGTCTCTTAACTCATTTGCATTTCTTTTCCAGTTTCTTTTTAAGGAAACTTTGGGAAAATGCTTATGTAACTGAATGATCTTTTTAACCAGTTGTGATTGTGCTTGAAGGCTCATTTTCTGTAATGATTCTGTTTTCTTTGCGGTTTTAGGGACACATCTATGTAATCTAGGGAAGCTGGAGTAATAAATGTTTTCACATCTGAAAGGAATTGAGCCAAACACAAAAATACCAAGAATTTAACATTTTGGGGTTAGGAGAAATATAAGCAAAGTGTAATTTTTCAGCTCACTTACTCCAACTGTTTTATTTGTAGATGAAGAAATGAGGATCAGATAGTTTGAGACATATGCGGAATTCACTAGGTGAATTAGGATTCATGAGCCTGGGAGCCTTGAACCTAATGTTATTCCTCATTTTATTTTGCCATGTTGTTACCAAATTGGAATCAGTTAAAGTCACTGAAGAGATCTTTCTCATTCACCGTTGCCAAATGAAAACATAGTGTCATTTTACCTCAGTCAGAGCCATAGTGAGGTCCTGAGTTGTTTTCTGAGCCAAAACATATAGAAGAATTATTAAATTGTGTTTTGTAAGCCCTTAGTATTAGGTTGAAGTTATTTTTAAAAATGGTAATCAGTATTTTAATTGTTAACCAAGATGTTCATTTAATTAGATTTCCTAATAGGCTAACCAATCTCAATAATCAGGAATTTACTAAGGCTATTTTTTCAGTGGGAAGGAGAGGACACACAAATCAGATCATTAGTGTCATGTCTTTAATTTCCTTGGTGGCATGCATATATGAAATCACAACAGTGTAAAGAGTGAAAAGCAATACTAATCCTTTGTTTCAGGTTCTGAATGGTTCTTAGTGGTCCTTGAATGGTAAATTTGCAACATGAATTAAGTAAAAGAAATAGTGGTTTATAATTTAAATATTTACTCTTTTAAAGATATTGCATTATTATTTTCAAAAACATGTCCTACTTCACCTCCCTTCTATTCTATTCTGTTTTATACCTACAAAATACATTGTAACTCTGGTTTATCAATTTGGCATAATGTGTGCAAAATTTTTTGTAAAAATTACTACTTTGGTAAAACTCCATTTAGAGCTGAGTTTTTTTAGTTATAAGGATAGAGTGAAGTGATGGGAAATAGAGATGAAATTAGTATTTGAAGAATTCTGTGAAAACACTCTGCTCAGATTCTCTGAGCACTGGTTTACATTGTCTGTGCAATCTGTGTAATCCCATTCAAAGATAATGCTGTTGGGATGCCTGGGTGGCCCAGTTGGTTAAGCATGCAACTCTTGATCTCAGCTCAGGTCTTGGATCTCAGGGTTGTGAGTTCAAGCCCCACATTGGGCTCCACACTGGGCATGGAGCCTACTTAAAGTAAAATAAAAATTTTTTTTAAATGCAAAAAAAATTCACAAAGATGATGCTATTTGCCAAATATGGTTTTTGCACTACTAGATACTCCATAAAAGTTGGAAATACATAGCCAATTAAGGTAAAAAGAGGAATTGATGATAAACATACATAGTTGGTAACATATTAACTTCTGAAGTGTTCACTAATGGCATTTGATAAAGTAAATTGTAATACAACCACACTGAGGACTGTTATATAAGTCTCATTTCTTAAAAGGCATTAAATATCATAAGAAAGTGATAGTGTTTCAATGAAAAAAATGGGGCAACATGATCCTGAAACTTTGTCAAAAATATACAAGACTAGAATGAAGTAATGTAAAATAGTAATAGTGGTTGCCTCTGGGTATTAGGATTGTGGACCTTTTATTCTCTTTGTGGGCATATGTTTCATTTTCTGTACAGAATTGTGTTATTTTTATAATCCGTATGAAGCATAAAACAAACATTTTTCCACTGCCATGCTCACGTTACCTCAATGAAATGAAGTGCTCAGTGACTTACAAGGAAGAACATTTGTCAGTTTTTAAAACAAATACGGTCTTTTGGAAATGTTTTATGTAGTATTTTTAGTTCACATTTTTAAGCCATCACTTGAGCTTGAATAAATTATTTGAACTGTATAAACATTTGCATTCCATTGAGAACACTGAAGCTAAAAGTATAAAGCAGAAACATGAATCTTTCTGAATAACCATTTTTTAATATTTAGAAGCTTTGCTTCAGGTTTGGTAATTTCCTTCACTGTCAGATTTGGGGTATTTTGTTTTTTGTTTTATGTTTCTTTTTTGGTCAAATGTCCATTGACAAGCCACCTCTTTTAAGAGGGAAATTTCCAATGGGAATATCTATTATATTTAGCCTTTTATATTTTATAATCTTGAATGCTTAGATTTATGTAAATTTTTTCCTGATTTTTAGAGGAACAGAAGGAAAATGAAAAGATGAAAAGTGAAGAGCAGCCAGTAGATTCAGAAAACTGTTCTACACCCAGTGCTCTGGAAGAGGCTACTGTGAAAATAGAAAAAGAAGATGAAAAGGAACTTGTCAAACTGCCAGTCATAGTCAAGCTAGAAAAACCTTTGCCAGAAAGTGAGGAAAAAAGGATTATCAAAGAAGAAAGTGATTCCTTCAAGGAAAATGTCAAACCCACTAAAGTTGAAGTAAAGGAATTTAGGGCAGATCCTAAAGATATCAAAGGTAGCATGGAGAAGCTAGAGACAGAGAGGCTGGAGTTTGGTGGCAATGTTCGATCTTCTCAAGAAATCACTGAGAAGTCTACGGAAGAAACCGAGAAAATTAAAAATGATCAGCAGGCGAAGATACCACTAAAAAAACGAGAAATTAAACTGAGTGATGATTTTGACAGTCCAATCAAAGGACCTTTGTGTAAATCAGTTACTCCAACAAAAGAGTTTTTGAAAGATGAAATAAAACAAGAGGAAGAGACTTGTAAAAGGATCTCTACAATCACTATTTTGGGTCATGAAGGGAAACAACTGGTAAATGGAGAAGTTAGTGATGAAAAGGTAACTGCAAATTTTAAGACAGAACAAATGGAGACAAGGTTTTATGATACAAAAGAAGATAGCTGTAGCCCCTCTAAAGACAGAAGTGTCATCGTGGAGGGAAATGGAGCAGAGTCCTTAAATTCTGTCATAACGAATATGAAAATAGGTGATCTTGAGAAGGAAGTGGTCCCTACAGGGAAAGATGCAGATAGTTCAGTATCAGTCTTAGAGTCCCAAAATCAAAAAGGGCAATTAGAGGAGACTGATCCTCCAGAAATGGAAATCTCTCTTGAGACTTCTGAGATGGCAAAGGATCTCTCTTTGAAAACTGCTTTATCTGCCACTGAATCTTGTACCCTGAAAGTTGACGAGAAGTCTCCCAAAAGTAAAAAGGATAAGCGCACACCAGTCCTAGAATGTCTTGAAAAGTTAGAGAAGTCCAAAAAGACTTTTCTTGATAAGGACACACAAAGATTGAGTCCAATACCAGAGGAGGTTCCAAAGTATACTCTAGAATCAGTAAAGCTAGTCTCTCCTGAGGCAGCTGAAACCTCAGCACCATCTAACATGACGGACGACTGTGAGAAATTAGCCTCAGAAAAGGAAGTGGTGGAATGTCAGAGCACAAGTTCCACTGAAAGTCAGCCCCTAGAAAAAACAGACCCAGAAATTCTACAAAAGGATTCCGAATCCACCAAGGTAGAAACAGATCATCTGGACAATGCCCAGACCTCTGGCACAGAGGATCATTCTGAGACAAAGGGTTCTACGCAAAAAAGCAAATTTAAATATAAGCTGGTTCCTGAAGAAGAAACCACTGCCTCAGAAAACACAGAGATAACCTCTGAAAGGCAGAAAGAGGGCATCAAATTAACAATTAGGATATCCAGTCGGAAGAAGAAGCCAGATTCTCCTCCCCAAGTTCCAGAACTAGAAACGAAGCAAGAGAAGACAGAAAAGGAAGAAGAGAAAACAAACGTAGGTCGTACTTTAAGGAGGTCTCCAAGAATATCTAGACCCACAGCAAAAGTGGCTGAGATCAGAGATCAGAAAGCTGATAAAAAAAGAGGGGAAGGAGAAGATGAAGTGGATGAAGAGTCAGCAGCTTTGCAGAAAGCAGACAAAAAAGAAAATCTGAAAAAAACGGAGAAGGATACAAATTCTAAAGTAAGCAAGGTAAAATTTCTCCTATTCTCTATTTATTAGAAATAATTGGGCCTAAGTGTAGCTCTTGATTTTGGTTAAAAAGAAGTCATTCAAAGAGCACTTTAAAAAAAAAAAAAAAGGTATCTTTCTTCCTATATCTGAGATGTCTTTTCTCACTAGTTATCCCCAAATATTAAATTTCATGCTGTATAATCTTGTCATCTTTTAAACTTTTTCTCTATTACAGGCAATATGGGAATATATATTCTCTTTGTAAACTATGCAGGTAATACCTAACCTGTAGGATTGAAAAATTAAAATGCCTCATAAACACTATTAAGAGTTTGGGATACATCTCAAAAAAAAAAAAAAAAAAAAAAGAGTTTGGGATACATCTCTTTCCAATTCTTTTTCCATACATTAATATGTATGTTCATAAATATTTACCCATTCACTTAAAAAATAAATTGAATATGTTCATTTTTCTATGAATTTTTCACTTATCACTGTGTCTCTGAACTCTTTCCATGTCAGTAGATGTAGTCTACCTTTTGGTTATTGATGGCTACACAGTTTTCCATAGTGTGGATGTACCTCAGTTTATTTAATCACTCCCTTATTGATTGACATTTAGGTTGTTTCCAATTTTTCACTATTACAGGCAATGCTGCATTGAAGATCCTTTTGGACATAAGTGAGTATTTCTTTAGAATAGACTCCTAGAATTGGCATTGCTGGGTCAAGGGGCATGTGTGTATTTTAACTTTTGATAGCTGTTGGCACATTGCCCTCCCCAAAAGGCCCCGTTACTGTACTCTCCTTACCGTGTATGAGAGTGTCTGTCTTCCCCCATTTAATCATTAGTCTTAGAAGCCAGAATTCTCTTTTCTATGACTCTTTTATTTTAAGCAAAACCTAGTACAAATCTACAGCTCGTTTATAGGAGTTTGTTATAATGAAAACTGCTACTTTTATTTTTAATTTATTTAAGTGATCAGATTGTCCTCCATTGTAAGTGATCCTTTGTTCCCTGAAATACTAAATTTTTAATTCTTTAAAAGCATTTCCCCTTCTGTTGTTAGAATTATTTTGGTCTTTGATGGGGACTTACACTGTAGGAATGAACTGAACTATGAATCAAAAGACTGAAACCAGGTGGTAAAAAGCAGTTTACAACATTATAAACTTATTCTCTGAATAATACATTTTTATATTTGTCAGGATTTTTATATACAGTTCTGACCCATAAAAAATTTTACATTCATCTCTAATATGGGAATTGAAACTTTTATATAACAATATGTGAGAATATAGTCAGTGCTCTCTTAGAGAGCCTTTAAAATGTGCATGGCCTTTGACCCAGAATCCTCTTCAAGGAATTTATCCTAACCACAGAGGTTTGTAAAAATTTATATTTACAAGGAGCCATTTTTTGTGAAAGTGAAAAACTGGGAAACTACCTAAATGTCTGTCTAGTAAGGGATTAGATAAATACAGCTGTGTGATGGCATATTATACAGTCATTTACAGTGATGTTAATAATATATTTTATGACTAGGGAAATACTTATAAGACAGAATGTTCATTATAAACCCCCCTAACAAAAGTAGAATAAATAATGGAAATATGTACCAAAATTTAATAGTAGGTAGATCTCTGATGAAGATAGAGTAATTTTCATTTTCTTCTTGTATTTTGACTAAAAATTGACATATAATGAGAAGCTTGTTTTTTAATGTTCTTATTATACCAAATTATTCCAATTTTTAATTTTATATAAGGTAAAACCCAAAGGCAAAGTTCGATGGACTGGTTCTCGAACACGTGGCAGGTGGAAATATTCCAGCAATGATGAAAGTGAAGGGTCGGACAGTGAAAAATCATCTGCAGCTTCAGAGGAAGAGGAAGAAAAGGAAAGTGAAGAAGCCATCCTAGCAGATGATGATGAACCATGCAAAAAATGTGGCCTTCCAAACCATCCTGAGCTAGTACGTACCTGATCTAAATGAACAATATTCATCTTACTGGCATGCTGTGGTTACCCAAAGCAGCCTCCCTCTTCTGGGATTGATCATGATTTGAAATTTTTTAATGCTGCACAGCTTTTGTGCACAAAATAACCTTTATTTCTATTTCTCAAATAATAACCCAATTCTGCTTTCATTCTACTTGGTTTATGTATTGATATTTCCTCTACTAAGGATACACTCCTAACCTCTTCTCACAGATCAACAAATTAATTCAAATTTTTCTCTTCTGTTCTTCTTTAAATGTTTCTTCTTTCCCTTTAATTTATAATGATATTTCTGAAGTGACAACTTTAAAGAAGTAAGGCCTTAAAGGCCTTATTGCTTTCTGTAGCAACATTTAAGTCAAGTAGTAACCTAGTAGGGCTTTAAACTTTAGAAAATGGGGAATTCCAAAACAAATCACCCCCCAAAAAAAACCAAATGAAAAGGATAAATTCTAGACCAGATATCTTCAGAAGAATACTGACAGTGGAACTTACCCAGGAAGTAAGTTCTTCAAAAGTAGCCTAAATCAGGAAATCCAGTTCCTAACCTGTTTATATAATTTTTGCATTTCATATGAGCTTTCTAAAGAGCCTATTGAAGAAACACTCTTTTTATACCCAATTGTCTACAATTGGTCTGTTTTGAATAGATGTGACTTTCAAGGCAATTTCTAACCACTAAGTAGAAAGAAATATAAAGAAAGATGCTTCCATGTAGGTAGAACTTTGTGTAGCAGAAACTTTTCGAAATCCAGTAAAGTTTGGAAAATTCACGTGAGCTGGTTCTCCAAGGCTCTTTTTCCTAGAAAGCAGTGTGGGATGATGATAGGAAAAGCATTAGAGCCAGACCGTCGTGGATGTAGGTCTGGCTTCCACCACTTACCAGGTGCTCTCTTCTCAGTATCTTAATTTCTTTGTTGTAAAATGGGAATACTACTACATACTTCTTTTGAGGGCTTTTTGTTTGTTTGTTTGTCTTTTAAAGGAGATAGAAGTTTATAGAACACACTACAGGGGAGCAGTGGACAGGACAGCAGAGGAGAGACTGTCTGCTGAGGGTTGTTTTTAATAAGTTATGTAAAGTTGGCTTAGCACAGTTCCTGACATCTATTACGTGCTAGTTTAAAGCTATTTCTGGTTTACTTGTTCTTTCTCTTCCTTAATGTTACAGTCATATCTGGAAATAAATTTATCAATAATGTTTATCATATTCCCATAGTTTCAGAGGGTTCAGAAACAGAGAAGAAGTTTAGCTCTGAGACTAGATGTTGAAATTATGCTGAGAAGACCCTTCCAAGAATTTTTATGATCATCAGGCTATGAAAGTTAGGTCAAGATTTTTGTGTGGAGAAAGGCCAAGAGAAGATTTGAGATAGTGGTCTTTTCTGCCCTCCAAATCAAAAATCAGCACCTGTGTTCTTTCCCTGCCATTTCTAATATCTTTTTAAACCAAGAGAATGCATTTTGACTGAGGCAGCAATAGATGTTAGCAGCAAAGGGGTGTGAGGAAATGAGAAGTAAAATGAAGTGAGCAGAGGTGATGTTGAGGAAATGAAGAAAGTTGCACCCTTCTTGGAACACACACATAGGACTTTCATTTATTTGGTTATTTTAATAACTGCTCTGAAAATCCCATTCCTGGCTACTCTGCCAAAAATGAGTGACATTAGAAACTAAAGATGTGGTGGATTCCTTATGCCCAATGTTTAAGGATAATCATAAATCAAAATGTCAAGCGACTATGATGTGTGTAAGTGGTACAGAAATGACGCTGAATTAGAAGGACATGGTCCTTGTCCTCACTGAGCTTACAGCAGAAAAACAATAAATTCATTGATGAATCTGGAACTCTATGGGGTGTTCCACGTGCTTTAGTCAAAATCAATGCATCATTGCCTGAGGCTTGGAAATCTTACACAGTAGAATTTTAACGGAATTTTATCTTTATTACAGAATAGAGACAAACATCACTTTTTAAATAAATTATATTCTAAAAGTTTACTTTTAATTTTGTTATTTGAAATTTAGATTACGTTTTACCATGCAAACAATGTGATAAATGAAATCAGGTGCCCAGGGTAGTCTACATATGCCTGTGTGATCGGTCGGTGTATAACTCAAGTTAAACACTCACATGACTTAGTATTGAGTTCTGGGTGTTGGCAGCAAATGGTGATGCATTGTAAGGAGAAGGGGGAAGGCAGCTTTTCACTTTTAAATCGCTGCACTTGGGTGCACATCCCACTGCTCTTCTTTAAGCCCCCGTGGTTCGTGTTAGCAATTTAGAAACTGCTTTACATATATACTACAGTTGAACAAATAAATGAAGCGTGGAGAATTGGAGCCATAAATGAGCAAGGTCAAAGGCTAGAATGAGCCCTGTGGTACTGGATTAGAGCTGGAGATACTGGTATGAACTCATGCTTATTTTAATATAGATCTATGTGTTTACATGGATTGCTCTACATACATGTATATCATAGCTCTGTCCTCTGAGAGAGCCTAGAAGCAGTGATACCTAGTATCATAGCACTTAGCACCCAGATGTTTGTTTGTTTCTTTTTTTTTAAGATTTTATTTATTTGAGAGAGAGCAGGGGGAGGAGCAGGTGGAGAGGGACAAGCAGACTCCACACTGAGCAGGGAGCCCAACACAGGACTCGGATCCCACGACCCTAAGATCATGACCTGAGCCAAAATCAGGAGTCCGACACTTAACCAACTGAGCCACGCAGTTGCCCCCAGATTTTGGTTTTTAAATAGCATTGTCCAATAAAGGAACCAGGGCTTCTAGGAGAAATGGCTAATACAAAGGCTTGGGCAGAGAAAATATAAGATGTGCCAGGAATGTCCCATAGTGTCAGGAAGTAAAAAAGTGCTTAAAATAAAGGATGCAAATGAGTCCTAAGGAGAAAGAACTAGCAATTTGAACAATAAATTAAATAATGGTTTTAGATTCTAACCCAAAGAAAATAAATCTTCGTTAGTTGATCCTGATATAAAGTGACTGAATAAACAAATAAATGGGGGAGAAGGACATTTTCTTTACAGAAGAATTCCAAATATTAGAGGGCATGAGGGAAATAGGTAATCATCATTAGAACACCATAGTAACAATTGTTGCAAGCAATAATGTAGGACTGATGAGCACTAAAATTAGTGGGTGAAATTTATTAATTTTAATTAATAAGTTTTAACTTATACCTCCAAATTCTTTGATATTCCACCCTCCAGAAAGTGCAGCTTAATCCTCCTCCCCTTGAGTGTGGGCTGGACTTAGTACTTGTAATGAGAATAGCTATGGAAAGTGAAAAGTAGTAACTTTGCAGTGATGAAAACCAACAGATACTACCGTAACCAAGTGATCAAGGTTAATATTATTAGTAATAGGTCATGATGATATCACGTACCCCCAGATATGATGCAGTAAGTAGGGCACTTCACCTCTGTGGTATTCTCCAAAACCCATAACCTCAGTCTAATCAAGGGAAGACCTCAAACAAACCCAAACTGAGGGGCAGTCTACCTAATATCTGACTAATATTCTTCAAAACTGTCGAAGTCATGGAAAACACAAAAAGACCAAGCAACTGTTACAGATCAGAGGAGATTGAGGAAACATGATTAAATGCAATTTAATATCCTAGATTGCATTCCGAAATCAGAAAAAGAACATTAGTGGAAAAACAGATGAAATCTGAATAAGGTCTGTTGGTCAGTTAATAGTGATGTATTGATGTTAATTTCTTTTTTTTTTTTTTAAGATTTATTTATTTGACAGAGAGAGAGTACAAGCAGGGGGAGGTGGAGAAGGAGAGGGAGAAGCAGGCTCCCTGCTGAGCAAGGAGCCTGATGCCGGGCTTGATTCCAGGACCCCTGGATCATGACCTGAGCTGAAGGCAGACGCTTAATGACTGAGCCACCCAGGCGACCCTGATGTTAATTTCTTAATTTTGATAAATATCCCATGGTTATGTAAGATGTTAACATTAATGGAAGCAGGGTAAAAGATTTATGGGAATTCTATCTTTGCAACTCTTCTGTAAATCTAAAATTATTTAAAAATAAGTTAAACATTCCTGAGTGTGCTTTTTTTTTTTTTTTTTAGATTTTATTTATTGATTTGAGAGAGAATGAGAGAGAGAGCATGAGAGGGGGGAGGGTCAGAGGGAGAAGCAGACTCCCTGCTGCGCAGGGAGCCCGATGCAGGGCTCGATCCTGGGACTCCAGGATCATGACCTCAGCCGAAGGCAGTCGCTTAACCAACTGAGCCACCCAGGCGCCCCGCATTTTAAATTTCAGAGAATTGGTCATCTTAAACTCAGATAATATAAAATGACAACTTAAGTCTAATTATTGTTAGCCTTTGTTTGTGAACATGATGGTCCTAAGTATAGCTCCATTCCTCATCTTTGTCCCTTCCATATTTGAATTTTCATTATAAAAAGGATCATGAATGTTTCTTACAGACAGGTAATTGAAATGCTATTTAAAGTGGGAATTAGGGATGCCTGGGTGGCTCAGTTGGTTAAGTGTCTGCCTTTGGCTCAGGTCATGATCCTGGGATCGAGCCCCGCGTTGGGCTCCCTGCTCAGCAGGGAGCCTGCTTCTCCCTCTGCCTGCTGCTCCCCCTGCTTTTGCGCTCACTCTCGCTGTCTCTCTCTCTCACATATAAATAAATAAAATCCTTAAAATAAGTAAAGTGGGAATTATTTGTATTTTTAAAATCCTATGTGTGGTAGGGAAGTTTATGATGCTTGAACTGTAAAACTTTGTTATAAGGGATATGTTGTTATAGTCGTCAAGGCACACTAAAAAAGGTTTATAACTCTAGGTCAGAAGAACTTGTAATTTGGGGTACCTGGCTGGCTCAGTCAGACCATGTGACTCTTGATATCGGGATTGTAAGTTCAAGCCCCATGTTGGATGTAGAAATTACTTAAAAATAAAATCCTAAGGGAACACCTGGGTGGCTCAGTCAGTTAAGCATCTGCCTTTGGCTCAGGTCATGATCCCAGGGTCCTGGGATTGAGCCCTGTGTTGGGCTTTCTGCTGCTCCCCCTGCTTGTGTGCTCTCTCAATCCCTCTCTCTCTGACAAATAAATAAATAAAATCTTTTTAAAAATAAATAAATAAAATCTTAAGAGCTGCCTGAGTGGC